CCCTGCTTATAAGACCTTTAGCCATAGCCTGGCTCTTACCTCAAGAGCAGCCTCCACTTGACTCAGGTGGCTTCTTCTCATTGTGCTAGCTAGCTTGTCTTGCTGGACAATTTGATTCCAGCTTTTGCAAACACAGCTGCACCTGTGAAAAACAAAAAAGTATGAAATATTTTCAGCTCACTAAACTTTTTAGACAACACAAGTTTGTAGTGCAAGCTAAACTCCACTGATTTTACTAAAAATTGCATCGTTTATACAACAAACACTGTCATAACGACATGTATGTTTCAGCTCAGCGTCAATCACCCTGCGATCATTCTACAGGACTCTGAATTATTCTTTACTCCATTAAAAATGTAGTCATGATTTTATTAATCAGTGACCAAATGGGAAAGGAGCCGCAACCTGTGGCAAGTAAGCATGGATGATATGCGCTGTAAAACATTGTGTGAATAAAAATGTATATTTGGAAACATGATTTATCACCTATAGACACTCTCAGAGTCCATCTGGCAAAGTATAACAGCCAGGATGTGCCTGAGGTTCCTCTTCATCAGCTCTGTGAGTACGTCCACCTTCTCCAGGCCCATCTTCCTGCCAATCAGCCCTGCCAATGGCATAGTGGTCCGAAGAGTGCTTGGGGTCTTGGTCAGTGCTGCTGCAGACTTCAGCTGCTCTTTCAGGCTTGGACTTTGACCAGCCAACATCTGGGCATGGTGCTGACAAATAGCTTGAACCAGCTGCAGCGCTGGAGTCAGAGAGAGGTTAACTGGAGTCATCCTGAGTGGTGTGATATCTGGATTGCCAAGATCCGTAGAACAAGGGGTCATGTTTTGTGCCTTGGTTTTAGTCACTCTTTGTGGGGTGGTATAATCTTTTTTTGCTGAGCTCAAGCGATCAGAGCTCACGGCATTACCACATTTAACAGAGAGGACACTGCGAGGGGTGATATCCTCGGCAAAAACCTCATCCTCTTTAGAATGGCTGTAACATTGATAAGGATGTTGATGCTTTCTGTCCGTTGGGTCTTCCTCAGACTGAGAGCCACCTTCTTTAAGCGTAGACAGCCTGTGCTGACGCTGCAAACGGGAGCGGCGCCTTCCCTCTGTTGGATTTGGAGTTTCAGAGTTTCCTTTGGAGGCGGACAGCAGCAGCTCCTGGAACGAGCCATCATGGTCCACTGTGGAGTCTTGCGATTTATCAAGAGTCACTGAGCTGAAACCGCTGTCCTCACTCAACGACCTGTTTAAAAGTCAGAAAGGAGTTAATCTGAGTTTAAATATTTTAAAGTTTTATTTTCTTCGTCAGTAAAACACATACCTGATATAGCTGGGTGTATGTGCAGATGATGGTGTGCACAAGACACTTGAGCCATTATATAGATTATCTGTCATGCTGCCCAATGGTGACTGAGAGTTTTCCTTAGAGATGGGCAGGAATTCGTTGAAGCCTGGAGTCTTGACATTACATTGACCAGATGCAAAAATGTGTTCACTCATGTCTAGATCTGTGAGTGAGGCTTCTTTCTCAAAACTGGGAAGGTGACAACAGTTGTGCTTGCCATCTTCAAGAGTTGAGGTCCTCACCTGCATGAACAGAACACGGCGCTTCCTGCCTGATAGTGGCAGGTCCTGGTCCACTTTTAAAGCGCTTGCTGCCCCCATCTCAGTGTCTACAGAGTCAAATGATGTATTGAAATAGGGTTCAGACCCACTGACAGGGGATTCAATCCCTCTGGTGCACGGTGATCTTGTGTTGTCATTTTTGACATCTGCAGTGGGTTTACACAGTAGAAGTCTCTGTCGCAGCGAGGTATCCCTTTTGCATATTTTAGGAGTTTCACACCAGCTTACGGCTGAAACCTTCCTGGAGTCTCTGCCCAAAAATCTGACTTGTTCTCGGATCTTCTTCTTTGGCGTGACAGAAACCCGGAGGTTCTCTTTGGGCGTTTCATCCAGTTCCACCGGAGACAAAGATCTACATGAATCAGCTCCACTGGTGCTGTGTGGGCTCTGGAAAAAACCTGAGTATCCACTGTCAGAGCAGTCATCGTAGCAGTGCTGCCCTTTATAGCCATCAAGATAAAGACTAGATTCAGGAGTGCACTGCATCTTCCTCCTGAGTGCACCAGCAAACCTTAGCCTGGCCTCCGGGGGATTACAAGTCACCTGGAGTAAAACAGAATATAATAAACAGAACTACTTCAGCACAGCAAATATGAACTTAAAGAGACCGTAAATACATAAACAAGTGTGACAGATTATAACTTTAAACAAGAGTTAAGCAACGCTAGCTTAAATACTTTTAAAAACGATATTTTTAAAAGGCGTCTCATGCTGGACTCCCTTATCATAGTAAAATAAAAGTTATCTCCCGAATCTTACGATGGTTTTCAGTGTATAAAAGTAGCAGTTTGTATATCAGAAAGCGACAGACAACTGATTTATCTCTGATCCTTCTCAGCTGTTTCATCCGCGTTGCTATGAGAGCGCGTGCTGAGGATTTAAATCCCCCCGTCTCGTGCCCTTTGTGATAGCCGCTTTAAAGAGCTCCATAACCGCCAAAAGACACCGACAGAGCCCGACTGACAGTATACACCACCTTTAACATCATTTTACTCGTTATTTTCACACTTAATTCCGTCTGAAGAAACATGACAAGGCAAAATTATTTGGTAAACACACACAAAACTGATTTTAGTAAAATTCATCCAAAAGCAAAACAAAACAAAAACCCAACGACGTTTCGTGCGTGCCCATTTTACAGTGTAACCCTCTATGCTAGTTCAGAGGGTCAGAGCAGCCATTTTAACAAGACACGACGGGATAAAAACCGGTTCCAGAATTAAAAGCAGTGATGCTCCGTCAAAGCTGAAATAGCCTCCTGTTAATGTGACTGAAGGGGACCCGGAATGGCACAGTGAATGACTAATCAGTTACACCTGTGTTAGCCCTGAAATGCCATACAAAAATGATTGCCATTAAAAAACAAACAAACAAAAAACAAAACAAAAACGGAGGGCCTCGTAAAACACCCGTCAAACACCGAGTTATAATTAAAGAAAAATGTGCCATCCACGTTTACTAACATAACGTTGTTAGCCTCCTGAAACTAGAACCAGTACGAGGTAATGTCGGTGAATTCCACGCACACTGTCTGTACCTTAAGCTCTACAAAATAATCTTCTTCGGGAATAAACGCGCTTAATATTTAACAAATACCTACTTGAAGTTAAAACGGGGCTATTCCAAAAAGCCGTGGCCTCCGTAGGCGATGTTGTTTCCTCAGGCTTCTTTCCAGGCCTCAGCTGTCCCCCTGCTGTTGTTACTGTTTTCTCATGTTCACCAGCCACGTTTTCAAATTTGGAGCCCTCCGTTGGCTGCGTCACGTGCTTCCTCTCGGCGCTACCGGCCTTCCGTCCGTGTGTGGTTACCATAGCAATACACACCACATTGTCGATGAGCGTTCAGCCAAACGGGAGCAGGTAAACTAGTTTTGCTTAACGGCAACACTTTAAACATTATTAACATTAATGTGATCTTGCATTAATTACTCAAGAGACACTTGAGATAAGTCTGCCTTTGCTGAATGTTACATTACCTAAATATAGAACTTAGCTGTTTCCAACGAACTATTAAAATTACCAGTAAAGTTAAGGTCGCTAGCTAAAAAGCTGGTAAGTTATACAAATATAATGCAGAACTGCCATGTCTCCCTTTTATGGAACACTTTTTGACACAATGACTGTGTAAATTCTTTCCAGAAATGAGTGAAGACGCAGTTTTATCCCTTCAGAGTCACTCCACCACTGTGGACTACAGGGGCAAGGTTCCTGTGGAGCACCTGGACTACGATTACATTGAAAAATGTAAAGATGTGAGATACATCGAGATGATCCTGAGAACACTGAGGTAACTGTCTGTTGAGCGATATAGTGTTGTTGGAGGAAACTCACTGTCCCTTTTCTTCCTTTACCTGTGTTCAATGGACTTTTGTTGCTTTTTTTTAAATCGTATTTATATTTACATGCTCAAAATAAAGCAATCAGTCAGTCCAGTCCCTTTATAGTGTTGGTGAGGTTTTTCTTTATGAAGGTTATAAACTCATCATCATGTCAAGTTTCACTCATTCTCCACTGAGATGGTAAGATGTATGTGCAATATTGCAAATAGATTACATAACACTTGTCATCAGTTGCAGAGGGATAATAGTGCATGTCATAACAAAATACAGGCTGGCAAATGTGAATGAAAAATATTGCAAAAAAAAAAAGCTATTTTATTTCTCTTTTTTGTTTGGTTAAAGGTCCGGCGAAGAGGGCATTTATCCTCACCTGATCAAGTTTTGTGAGAGTCACCTGGAGAAACTGGACCCTAAGAGCCGAGCTCTTAGGAAGGAAATGCCTGTAGCCACAGCAGCCAGCCTCTCTAAAGATGAGTGGAGCCAAATTGAGGATGAGTTGAAAGTATGGTACACATTTTTTTCTTTCTTTTAAAAAAATAAATAAATCCTGTGTACTTTGTTCTCACATGGCTATTTCTCTAAATACTTTGCTCAGAGATGGCAAGAAGAAACCAAAAAGACTGAAACAACCCTGAAACACCAGTCAGTATTTGATGATCTAGTGAAAGAAAATATGCCACCTGTAAGAGGTTCCAATTGCTTCGTTCCTCTGAGCCAGGTAAAAAAATCAAGGCATATACAGTACATAACCAGTTACATATATGTATAGAAGACAAATATTCAGAGTCTTTTCTCATGATAGAAAACAGTTCCACAAGAAAGAAAGAAACCCTCAAAATGCGCCCTACCACGTGATTACCGAGAATGGGACAAGTGAGTCATGCTGTCTCCACATTTGTCTATTATATTCAGAAGAAAGACCCCACTGTTGCAGCAGCTGAATTCTCTGTGCATAAAAGCTTCCCAAGTCTTTTTACTTTGTAAAAGGGCTTTAAAGCTAAACTGCTTCCATTACAGTGATCCACAGTTTAAAAACTTGACCTTTAAGTGTATATTTTACACCTTTTTCCAGGTTCGATGTGGAAAAAGAATGTGAGAAAATAGAGGAGGATGTGGACAAAACGGATCCACCAGCAATTATAAACTCAGGACATCCTAAAATCAACACTCAAGTGGACACTTCATGTAATCTATTGTGGATAGAAAGTGTTCTTCTTCTTTTTTTGCAGTAATTATTAAGCATACAACGTACATCAGGTGTGTTGGCATTTTTGTGTAACATGTAAGGTTTCCCCTGTGATCCATCCAGCGCTGTCACAACAGGAGAAGCTCTTCCTGGCAAATCGTGAAAAAGACAAAGGCAATGAAGCTTTTAGAGCAAAGGATTATGAGGAGGCAGTCACATACTATTCCAGGTCAGGTTCTTTAAACAACTCCTTCATTGCAGAAAGCACTTAGCGCCTCTTAAAGGGCTTTTATCATTTTGCTTGGTATATATTGTAAGTAGTAGACTGTCATCTTTCATTGTAGCTGTAGTAGTAAGTGTTTGTGCAATAATCTCACTGTAAATAGAGGCTTGCTTTATTGTTTATTCCATTACAGGAGCCTTTCCATTATAACATCTGTGGCTGCATACAACAACAGAGCCCAGGCAGAGATCAAGCTCGAGCACTGGCACAATGCCCTGAAAGACTGCCTGAGTGTGATCGAGCTAGAACCGGGCAATCTGAAAGGTGTGTTAATGTTATTTCTATAATTTCTAACACAATAATGCTTCCAGAATAAATACACCTGCACTTTTAGATGTATTTATATGATGTGGTATACTTTAGCTATGGCAGCATTAGTGTATGTGCTACATATTGTAATGCACTTCTTTTCGTTAGCCCTGCTTCATCGTGCTGTTGTTTATAATCAAATGGGCAACTTCCACATGGCCACTGAAGACCTGAGGACGGTGCTCAGGGAAGAGCCACAGAACACCGCTGCGACTGTAGGTGATAGTACTGAGGCATGTTCATCATGCACCAGTCTACCTTTGATCCACTAGGTGTCACTGTATTTGTGAAAGTTGAGTGATTTAGTGAGTCTATCACTGGAAGTCTTTCGTGTATTTATGTCATTACCGTAAATAGAGGATGATGTGGCTTTTTTAACAGATCTGTATCAGTGGAACAGCTCAGGATGTGCTGTGTTTAGCCGTCCCCTTTAATTGCATTATTTAACTTCTGGTTCTATTTATTTGATTTGATTTGATTGAATCTTTATTTTGAACATGTTGAAAAAGTACAACAACATAGAATTAAAAGAGACAAATGAACAAAGCAAAACAGAAGGAAAACGAGCAACCACAACTACAAATAACTTTCATGTTCAAAAAGGAGAAGGAAGAAGCATAAGCTTATTTAATCCCACCCCTTTTCCACTATCTAGTAATCAATAGACTACAGAAATACCTCCTTGCAATTACATTATATGTCATGTGTATTTTTTTTTATTATTCATTTTTTTAATATATATACATATATGTTTCTATCTATCCATACATACATATATACACATATACACATTTTCAATAACCCCAGTAACACCTCAAAGGATACACAACCTACAGATATATATATACCCATACCAACATACCCGTGCACCCGCACACACATGAAAATATTGGACAAGAACACCCTATCAAATCTCTACCTCGTCCCTGTACCCTGTAAAAACCATCTCCTTAAACCACCTTTTAAACTGTGCCATGCTCGGACATTGCTTCATATCTTTACTTAGTCTGTTCCACAGCTTCACTCCACACACAGAGATGCAAAAACGTTTTAATGTTGTACGGATACGAGGATGTTTTAAATTCAATTCCCCCCTCAAATTGTATCCCCGTTCCCTTTTAGAAAACATTTTTAGAATATTGTCAGGAAGCAGGTTATTTATTGCTTTATATATAATTTGTGCAGTGAGAAAATGAATGAGTATAATTTAGGTGTAAATGGGAAGAAAATGTTCCTTTTTGTAGTTATACATACACCAGTCACTACAACTAAGTAATCTAGCATAGATTGTGATATGAATAGTTGTGACAAACAAAACATGAGATGTTCTAATGGATGAATTGTTTGTGTTTTAGCAACTTTTGTCTCAAATTGAGAAGAAGATGGAGGAATGCCAACAAGAGAAGCAACGCAAGGGCAAAAAAATCCTCATCCAAGAGATAGAAGAGGCAGATAACCAGACTGACAGTGACAACAAAGCTCATAAAACTGGTGATTCTTTGAACTACTAAAAACAATCAATATCCTTAAACACAGACATAGAGACTATAACGGCGCTAATGGCCATTTATGATAACCCATTTGCATCCAAAAATCAATCAACTGATTTATATGTTGCCTACTCTCTATTTAACATGCAGTTAAATCGTTTTTCAGTTCTAGTCAAGCTTAGGTAAGTTATGAGTTCAGAGGAAACTTAGATTTTTGTCAAAAGTGTGCATTGATCCTTTATTTGACATGTTTGGTTTTTTTTTCACTGTTTATTTCATATTAACTAGCAAGACTAGCAGGAAGTGAATGAGGTAAACCAGTAGACTGTGGTACAGATTTCCCAGATGAGATTTTTCCCTTACTGGAGATGTATTTTTATCTATATTCTCATTTAGTGAAAAGTAACAAGTTAAGTCATTCCACTGACTTAACTGGACTCAAAAATCTATTGCTACTCTAATTTATGTAACTTGAATGAGGTGTTACATTTTAACTTTATAGCAGAAAGTTTTTTGTGTCTTTATAGCTGTGCTGGATTTAGAAGTTGAGGATTTGCCCTCTAATACAGTCACGATTTATACAGAGCATGTTAGGAAGCTCCAACGTTGCCGGTAATAGTAGTGCTTTAGTCACATCCCCTTCTGTCTGCTGTCCTATAGAAAGAGGAAATTCCCCCCTTGTCTCTCTGGGTGAAGGAACAGTGCATGCATGTGTTTTCTGCCCTACCCCCACACAGCCCTTTCATAAGTCACTGTTTGGTATCTCTACTTCCTGGAACTCCCTGTTTGAAGTGGCTCCGTGTCATGTGCTCCTCTCCTCCCACACGATGATGTAACTGCTGACTCTTTCCTGTGGGTGTGACTTCCCCTTCTCTGTCTCTCTCTCTCTGCTTCTCCCCTCCCTCCCTCTCCCTTCCAGCTTGTCTGGTTCAACCTAGCCAGCCCGTGGGAGGGGAGGAGAGATCAGCTACTCCTGTCGAAAGGGGAGACATGGGAAACGCTCATAAAAAGCCCCACGGAAGAGGGGACGGGGGTCCACACGCCGAGTCCAACAGCTCCCACCATGAACACAGGAGGAACAGAGGCACCTCAGACAAGTACAAAGTCCCGCAGGACTCC